TACGTGGAGACCTTGGTGGTGGCCGACGAGTCGATGGTGAAGTTCCACGGGGATGACCTGCAGCACTACCTGCTCACCCTGATGGCCACGGCCGCCCGCCTCTACAAGCACCCCAGCATCCGTAACCCCATCCAGATCTCCGTGGTCAAGTTCCTCCTGATCGGGCAGGATGACAAGGGGCCCAAAGTCACCAGCAACGCCGCCCTCACCCTGCGCAACTTCTGCGCCTGGCAGAAGAAGTGGAACAAGGTCAGCGACAAGCACCCCGAGTACTGGGACACCGCCATCCTCTTCACCAAGCAGGTGGGTGCAGGAGCTGCTCCCCCCTGGCACAGAGCACTGGGCTGAGGTGTTCTGCCACCTGTGTGCATGACGGGGGAGGTTGTGCGTGAGCCTGTCCCTCTTTCCCAGGGAACCTCCACTCTCAGATGCTGGGTGGGGGATGCAGAGGCATGGGGCAAGCAGACTTGGGCCAGCCTTGCTGTCCCCTGGGCAGGTTTTGGCTAGGAGCCTGGAAAAATCCCTGCCATGGGGTGAGTGAGGCCAGGAGGTGTCCACAGGCAGAAACCTGCTGCTCCATCTCCTGCCTCCATGCAGGAGCTTGGCCGCGAGTGCCCTGCGGCTCTGAGTGCGCCCTGAAATGAGAGGTCTGAGCCCAGAAGAGGAGGAGCATGGTCCTGTTCCCCCTCCCCAGCTGGGAAGAGCTCACAGTGCCACCTGCCAAGAAAAAACCTCTCCCTGCTTCCTCTGACTCATGCCTGAGGTTCTCCTGAGAACCTGGACCTCTCCTCAGCACTGGCTGCACTGCATGGAGCCGGTTCAGGGCTGGAAGTGAAGCACCAGAGATGAGCCAGCACTCCAGCCCTCGAGTGGGGGAGAGCAGAGAGTCTCTGCCCCCAGTGCCCTGCGCTGGCTGCATCCCTGGGGTGGGAGAGAGGCCTGGAGCTGCCTCTGGCAGCGCTCCGTGGTGATGTGGCGTGTGGGATGAGCTCTGCATCCTCCCACCCCCACAAGCTGGGTGACACCACAGCTCCCACAGCCTCTCCCCACTGTTCCTCCCTCCCTGTAGTCCTGTCTCAGTGTGGACATCAGTCCAGTGCCTGCATCCCAAAATCCCTGATGGGATGGGAGGAGGATGAGCCCAGCTTGGAGGGGTCAGTCAGTTCTTATCTTGGCTGCAGCCGGCTTTGGCAGGAAAGGCTCCTTGCATTTTCTCCTTCCACTATCCCTGCCCAGATGTTTTTGGATTAGGGACAGGTGAGGAACTCCCCTCAGCAGCAGGGAGACCATTCCCAAAATATTTTTTCCAGGTCAAGCCCTTGTGGTGGGTGGGAAGGATATAGCATCCAGCTCAGTCCAGCTGTCACTCGCCTGGGCTGGAGCAGGACTGAGCTGTGCAGGACGTGTAGGATCTTGTCCTGTGTGTCCTCTTGTCCTCCCCACCCCGGGCCAGCTGTAAATCCTCGGGGAGCACAGGCAGGATGGAAGGCCAGGCTGCTGGAGCAGCTCACAGAGGAGGACTCTGCTGACACCAGGCAGCTCCACCTCTGGTGGAAGCCCCGTGAGGTCACTGGAGCTGCACGTGGGACAGAGCCGGTCCCAGCCATTCGAAAGATGTGGATCACGTCTGGGCTGCATTTTTTACACATTGCTAAACCATCCATTCCTGAAATCCCAAAGCAAGCTCAATGCAAAGGCACACGGTCAGGGAGACATCTGCCTTCCTTGAGTGCATCCATCTGTGGTCCCCTGACATCCCAAAGCTTATCTTCCTGCCAAAAAGCTGTTACATAAGCCCCCGACTTAAATTTCACCTCCAGCCTGGTTGATAGGCAGTTTTCACTGTGATGATGAGCTGCTGACGAATGGGGCTCTCTTTTACTGCTTGGATTTGCTCCCTTCCAACACTGAATGATGGATTTGCCTTGGGGAAGCTCAGTCCTGATCAGCTGGAGGGTGCAGATTCCCTTCCTACCTGAGCCACTCTTGTTGGAGGGTCCTGCAGAGCTTCAGCTGCCCTCCTGGAATATCCCTGCACACCATGGCTTGTCCATCCTTCCCACCCCTCCTGGATGTCACACTAGTAAACATTTTCTGCACATCTTTGCTTTGCTGTAAAACCAAAGGGAAGTTGCATGAAGGAAGATCTGGCTGCAGCCTAGCACCTGGGGGAATTTGGAGACAGCAGCTCAAGCCTCAGCTTTTTGGAGTTGCTTTGGATGCACACAAGAAGCCTCTGTGGCAGGGAGAGTGCTTGTGACTCTGAGCAGGTGAATTAATGCTCAAAGATCCCCCTGACTGACCTGTGGAACGTCTTGAGAAGCTCACAAGGGATGATGAGAAGCCTTGGGAGATGCCATGCAGGAAGGTCAGGCTGTCTGAGCAGGTTGCCTGCAGCCCTTGGGGGACCAAGGGTCCTCCCTGTACGTGTGCCAGCACCTGTGACACCAGTGACAGAGAGCAAAGGCAGAGCTGGCTCCTTGCACGGTGCTTTCCACCCTAAACCTCTTCAATTTATCTATGTTCCCCTCCTGAGCCGCCTCAACACTGGCAAGGCTGAAGGAGGTGCTCAGGTGGGGGACCAGGACCTGTCATAAAGCCCAGAGATGCTGCCTGGCACAGCCAGGCTGTCCTGAGGAGGCTGTGGTGAGGGAAAAGCCCCCAGAGAGCTGCTGGTGGTGAATCCCAGCGAGGCTCAGAGCGAGAAGTGGGTCAGTGTGTCAGTGCAGGTGTTGGGCTGGGAGCCAGAGCTCGCTGTGCTGGCGAGGAAAGAACTCTTCAAAGAGCACTGAGAGCTCTTCAGAGAGCCCTGAGCAGGGAGCTGTGAGGCTGGGACATTCCTCCCCACGCCCCATCCTCGCCCCAAACCCCCAGTGCTGGCTTTTGCACTTTCTCCCTCCACCATCCCTGCCCAGATGCTTTTGGATTAGGGACAGGTGAGGAACTCCTCTCAGCAGCAGGGAGACCATTCAAAATCAGAGCTGCCAGGGACTCCTGGGCAAGCTGCACCCCTGGCTTGGCTCAGGGTGGTGCTGCCACTGGGTCTTGGTGTGTTTGGGGACTGGCACTCTGCCCCTGGGCTTGCTAGCACTGTTAACCAACCTGTGGTGGCACTGCCAGGGCATCCTGAGGCTGCCACCTCTTCTCCTGGGATCAGGGATGCAGCAGGGCCCCAGCTGGGCAGGGAAACTGCAGAGCAAAGCGCTGAGCTCAGTTGTGTGCTGGGGTTTTCCACCACCAGAGCAGACCCAGACGTTTCTTCACGTCACCTCTCTGGAGATGCCGGTCCTGCTGTGGCCCCAGGTCTCCTGTTAAAGCCATCTCAGGCCTGGCTGGGGCTCTCTGAAGTCATCAGGGCTGTGATTTACCCACGGCTGAACCTGCCTGCGCGGGAATGCCTGCAGCTTGGAAACCTTGCTGGAAATATTGGCAGAGCAGCTCCTGCAGGATTCTGTGCAACCCAGGCGCTTTGGCTGGGCGAGTGCTGAGCATGAATCACACTTATTTATAGCATGGGAGCGCCCAGAGAGTCCCTTACTTTTCTTTTCATGTGGAAAACAGCTCCGTGCCCGCTGCATGGCCTCCCTGGCAGCCCTGGGGCAGCACCCAGGGAGGGGAGGATGCTCCAGCCCTCCCAAAGCCAAACCACACCCAGCAGGGGAAGGGAGCACCTGGAACAAGGTTGCTGCCAGGCTGCAACACTGGTGTGTCTTAAATGGAATATTTTTAGCATGAGCATCTGGGGAAGGGCAGATCTGCCCATGATGAGACCCTTCCCAGCCTCTCTCATGGCAACATCTATGTAGGATGTGGCTGTCTTCAATGTGGGGGTGGAAGCCTGGGCTGGTTCCTACAACACCCCAATCCTATCCTGTCC